CCCAGATTAAGATTTCTTGGTGCTATTGACCTTCACTATGCTGCTGTGACACACAGCAAAATGACTTCCATGACTGTGGAGAGACTACGTTGCTTACTTTCATAGCTGCATGAGGACTTATTGTTAAAAGTCTCCCAAGTTCTCCCAAGGAAACACAGGTCCTGGGCTAAGCACGAACTAGTGGCACCAAAATGGTCTTCAAAACTCATCCCTATATTTTCTGCCCCACCCCTGCACCAGCCTGTTGGCTGACTGGCCCTTCTCCACAGGTGTCCTCTAAAGCTGCTGACAGTTTCAGCACTGACATTGAATGGCAAGATGGATTTCCTAAAGGACTACCCTGGATCCCCCAGTCCTATCATGCACTGACACCGTGCTTGTCACCACTGACTCTGATGGTTTGGACATGTAGAAATGCACCAGGAGAATATTCAAACAGCTGCTGTAAGGTGAGCTGATGGAGGCAAATGCCAGCAGGCTGAAAGGAAAACAGAATTTACGGGCTCTCTTCAGCAGAGCTCATGCTGAGCAAACAGCACCACAGAATGTTCAGGGACGAGGCAGGCAGACGAGTTCCTGCTTTAGGACAACAGTGACTCTTTTTGAGCAAAGAGAAAGAAGCAGAGGCTGGAACACAGGGCTAGCGACAGTGACAGGCTTGGGACAGGGCAGCCAATCCAGCAATCCAAAGGTGAGCATCCCATGTACTCCATGCCCATGTGGAAAGCACACATGATCTCCCAACCTGCATGGTGATTGTCTAAGAATGAGAAACATTATGAACTGTACTTGCTCTAAGGCAAGCTTAGCAAAATCCAGAAACAGAATAAACCTCTGGAGGGAAAGGAATAGAGGAGGGGAAAGGATTACCTACCTATGCATCTGTACTGGCTTGAATGGTATCCCTCAAAATCCATGTCTGCCAGAACCTCAGAATGTGACCTTACTTGGAGATAGGGCCTTTGCCTTTGTAATTAGTTAGGACAAAGTCATAATGGATTTGGTCTGATGTCCTTATAATAAGGGAAAAGAACACAGAGAAACAGGGAAGAAGGACATGTGGCTATGGAGGCAGAGATTGGAGTGATACAACCATAAGCCAAGGAACGCCAAGGACTGCCAGCAACCACCAGGAGCCCGGATGAGGGGAGAAAGCATTCTTCCTTAGAGCCTGCAAGGGACATGGCCCTTCTGACATTTTGATGTTGGACTTACAGCCTCCAGAACTGTGAGTGAAGAAATTTCTGTTGTTCAAATGGCGATAAGTTCAGAAAGGGGTCCAACAGAGCAAGGTGGAGAATTAATTTCAAATCTGAATAAATCGACACTCAGTGGAATTTGATCCAACCACTGAACCTAGTATTCTACTATTGTCATTCTTGCGAAAAATGGTACAACATGTAAGGGTATATGGGGGAGAGAAGAACCGCCCTCTATTATATTAAAGCTTCTGCTCTAAAGGCAGGAAAATCATCAGCTATAAAGCTCATTGCAAAGGGAAGAGAATAATGCGTTAGCAAAAATCAAGGCTCAGGGAAGCATTCCCAAGGATTTTGTGACCAATACACACACACTTATTGGCTGATTTCAAATGTATCTAGCCATTTACAATTCAGCAAATGCCCCAGCAGTGTAAAAGAAGCAAAGAGAGGTGCTGGGCAGGAAAACTTGTATCATCGAGAAGTCTCATTAAATTATCACTCAGCTGAAAGAAAGCTCTAGAATAAGAGAACATTCAGCAATGAAGGAGCTATTCTAGCTATAGAGTCTAATACAGTAACTCCTGGTTACATGTGATTATTGAACACTCGAAACGTGGCTAGTAGACTGAAGAACTAGAATTTTAATTTGATTTAATTTTGATTAATTTACATAATCACATGTGGCTAGCAGCTACTCGATTAGACAGCATAGCTCTAGAATCACAGAAAGCTGGCTGTGGAGAACAGCCTGGGAGACTCACTGAGTCTGAGATGGACCAACTCCATAATTAAAAACAGATCAGGGAAACTTTATAGAATGTACAAATATTATACATGGTCTTGCTGGGACATAATTAAGATTTACTTAATCTTCACAGTGTCCTTATAGATGATCAGTAACATCATCCCCATTTACTAGATGAGGAAATCAAGGTTCAATAAGATTATTTGACTTGTCAAAGGCCTTGCAGCTTTTAAGAGATTTGAATTTAGCTTTGACACCAAAATCCATACTCTACCCACCAAGGCACGTTATCTATGGCACCTTCTACTCTTTTGTTTTTTTCCATTCCCATCCTTCCAGAACAGTCTAAATTACATGTGTGTGAGTGTACATGCACATGCATGAGTATGTCTGAACGGGTTTTGAGGAATAAGTAGATGTAGGGGTTCCATAAGTGTTTAGTGTGGATCTCATATTCTATACAGATCAGTACCCATTAGCCAACCAGCCCTGTTTTCCACTCAGTCAGGCATAGTGGAATGCCAAGGAGAGTGATGGAGCAAACAGAATGCATACTTGCTGACTAACATTAAAGAAACCTTCTCGCTCAAGGGTTTCAGCAAAAATTCTATACCACAGCTGTCCTGGTCCTCCAGGAGCACACATTCTCCCAGCAGTAGAGATACTCAGAAACTCTAAAGCCACAGGTCTTGATGCGAAGGGAGGCGGGAGGTAAGGGAAAAGGGAAAATGATCCACAGAATGCCTCACTAACAGTATGGAGATATGAAAATACAGGTTTCAGAGACTGGTGAGACTAACTGGAGAGACCGAGATGTCCACCTTCTCTTCCAACCTCCTGTTTGCCCCAACAATGGAGAAGGGCAACTGAGGGGCCTGCAGAGCCATAGAGTCAGCGAGGCTGAAATCCAGATGAAGCCATTGTGGGAAATGTGGCCTTCCCCAAACCAAAGCACAGCTGGTTGGTGCTGGAAACACTGATGCCCTCTGGGCTCATTGCTATGAAGATTTCGACAGCATTAAGAGAAAGGTCTCTGGTGGGATTAATTTTGCATCTTTTAAAAAAGTTTCACTATGCCTGGAAATATACTTGGTGAGATTAATAAAGCAATCTTTGTCTCTTTAACCTCCTGGAAGGTTAACTGAGTCTTTCATCATTGTACTGTAATCCTACCCTGCAAGGAACCTTCTGAAAAGAGTCCCCTTCCCCTAAATAAAACTTTCTGGCATATTAAGGTTTGGAGGTTTATGTGATTCCACACCCAAATAACTCTAAAAATAGCTCATCCTAGTGCAACAATTGGTGTCCTGGAAAGGAGTCTCTGGAAAACCTGACCGCTCGCCTCAGCATTCACACGGGTCTCTGGAAACATCTAGCCTAACCTTTCAAACCCCAGGAACTGGGTTTTGAGGACTGATGTTTAGCGTCGTTTCACAACAAAACTATTGGCACCAAATAATGCAAACAAGTTAGTGAATGCTGTGACCGTGACCAAATATATATAT